GGCCAAGAGGCGGAAACAACCTGAATGTCCATTGATGGATTAATGGACAAAGAAAATGTGGCATATACATGCAATGGAATATTATTCAGCCCCCTAAAAGGAAACTGTCATATGTTAAAACATGAATGAACATTGAGGACATTATGGCAAAGCGAAATAAGCTAGTCACAGAAGGACAAATACTGCATGATTCCACTTCTATGAAGTATCTAACGTAGTCAAACTTGAAGAAGAAAGCACAATGGTAACTGCCAGGAACTGGAGGATAAGGAAATGAGGAATTGCTGTTCAATGGGTAGAGTTTCAGTGGTAGAAGATGAAAAAGTTCCAGAGATCTGCTGCCCAACAATGTGCAGTGAATTAACAATACTGTGCTACACACTTCAAAAATTGTCAAGAGGAGAGATTTCAAGTCATGTGTTTTTTGCCATAATTGAAAGAAGAAGAAAAAAGATATCAAGTGGTATAGCCACTTTGAAAAAATGTGGTAGTTTCTTACAAAGTTAAACTTGTCATATAAAATGATCCAGCAATCACACTCCTAGGCATCACCAATTTCCTTCAATAGGTGAATGGACAAACTGATATATCTACTCAATGAAATATTATTCAGGGATAAAAAAAATAACTTGTCAAGCCACAAAAAGACATGGAAGAACCTTAAATGCATATTACCAAGTGCAAGAACCCAGTCTGAAGAGACTCATATTGTATGATCCTAATTATGTAACATTCTGGAAAAGGCAAAACTATAAACACATTATGAAAAAATCACTGATTGTGGGGTCCAGAGGAAGGTGGAGGAAAGAATTAGTAAAGCACAAAGGATTTTTAGGGTGAACTATTCTGTAAAGTGGATTCATGACAGTAGGTATTTGCCAAAACAGAGCTATTCAACGAAGTAAAAATTAATGTATGCAAATTTAAAAATCATTTAGGTAGTCAAGCAATCCCAGCAAGGAATGCAGACTATGGCAAAAAGATTGAACTGTATTACAAATGTAGGAAACCACCTCACTGAAGGGGGGGTGGGGAGCAGCTGGTACTGACCTAAGTAACTCTGGAAATGTGTGAAGTAAGACTAAAGACTAAAATATATATTTTTTATATATATATATATATATATATAACACACTAGAATTGAACAATTAAGCAAATGTAGAGTGGATGGTAAGAGTAAGGTTTCTTTTTTTTTTTTTTTTTTTTTTTTAGTGTTTATTTATTGGGGGGGGGGCAGATAAGAGTGGGGTGGAGAAAGAGGAGAAAGAGAATCGAAGCGAATGCAGGGCTCGAACTCACAAACTGTGAGATAATGACCTGAGCTGAAATCAAGAGTCGGACGCTTAACTCACTGAGCCACCCAGGCACCTGGGAGTCAGGTTTCTTACAGCTGTACTGTGAATTTACAGATAAGGAAGGGTAGCAGGTGAGAATGTGATCCTTGTGGTAATGGATTAGAGTTGAAGACATCAGGATGAACTTGTGTAGCTTAATATAGATATAGTTGATTATGTAAAGAAATATTTACAGATAGGTATATATACACAGCTTAGTTTACATACATATATTTCTTTGTTGTCAACTGAGGGTACTTAAACAATACCCCAATAACAATGAGCACATCTAGCTTGATTTCTATTACCATTCCTCAATAAAATGAACCAGGGATTCTTGGGAGAAATGGTTGATTCTAGGACTGGGCAGGAAATAGGCAAAATGAGCCTGGAACATACTGCCAGAAAGTTAAGGAAATAATATAAAAGAGCCAACTGAAAGAGCTCCCAATGGCCAAACCTGGAACAATTTGAATAGTAAATAGTATTGGATTATAACCATAAGTATAAATACCCATGAGTCCATATTATATAAATAAAGGATTAAATTAATACGAGACAAATCTGTGCAGATCTCCAAAAGGTTTATGTAAGTGCTCTGACCTAAGGAAGGGAGAGCACAACTTCCCATTTCTTAAATATGAGCCACACATAGTGACTTCCTTCCAAAGAGTACAATATGGAAAAATAGAAATAAAGAGTAACTTTACAGTAAGAAGCCTGACAAACTACCTCAGCTAGGTAAGCAAAGTCAATGTCAAGTCACAAATCCTGTTAATAGTATGTACCCTCAATATGGTGTGTTGCAAATGGCACTTTACCTCTGTGATTTCCCTCCCCCAAACCCATAACCCCAGCTTAAGCATGAGAAAAACATTAAATTCCAACAGAGGGCCATCCTACAAAATACTTCACCCACACTTCTCAAACTGTAAAGGTCATCAAAAACAAAGAAAGGATGGGAAACTATCACAGCAAGAGAAGCTAAGGAGACATGACAACTAAATATGAAATCCTAGAACAGAAAAAGCACATCAGGTGAAAACTCAGGAAATCTGAATAAACTATGGAATTTAGTTGATAACAATGCATTGGCATCAGTTCATTAGTTATAACAAATGTACTTACTAATATGTTAATAACAGGGGAAACTGGATGTGGGGTATATGGGATCTTTCTATCCAATTTTTATGTGAATCTAGAACTAAAACTAAACTAAAAAAAAAAGAAAAAGGTCCATTTAGAGAAGAAAAAAGAGTCACAGTTTGGGAGAAAATACCTGCAGGGCATATATGTGATAAAGACTTGTATCCAAGCTACCAAGAACTCCCAAAACTCAACACTAAGGAAACAACCCAATTTAGAAATGGGCAACAGATCTGAACAGACACTTCACCAAAGAAGATATACAGATGGCCAACAGCACATGCGACAATGAACATCATGTCATTACAGAAATAAAAATTATTAAAACCACAATGAGATACCACTGCACATGTATTACAGTAGCTGGAATGAAGGTTGACCAAAGCATGTGTTAGGAAGCAAATGGAGGTGAATGAACTCTTCCAGACTTTGGAAATATCTCATTCATCTAAGTATTCACTCTAAAGGAAGCATATATCCATACCAAGGTATACATAAGAATGTTCACAGGATTCTGTGTTATGTAATATACATAAAGTTTTAAACAACCAAAATATCCTTTAACACGTGAATAAAAACATATGGTAAAACTCTACAACTGAATACTTCTCAACAATACAAAGAAGTGAACTATTGATATATGCAACAACATGGATGAACCCAATACTGAAGGAAGCCAGATTAAAAGAAAAGGTACATACTATATGATTCCACTGATATTAAACTCTTGAAAGTGTGGAGTACTCTACAAGTGGCAGGAAGCAGACCAGAGGTTGCGGCAGGGGTGGGGGAGTGGAAGAGCAGGGATTACAAAGGAATAGGAGGAAACTTTCAGGATTGCCATGTTCACAATCTTGATAGAGGTGATTCTTTCATGGTGTATGTATGTCAAAATTTACCTGACTGTACACTTTAAATAAATGAGTTTATAGTATATCAGTCAGATCTCAATAAGGTAGTTAAACATACTAATGGAGTGATAAATAAGGTAGTGAGAGGAATAAGTAGAGCAAGATTTTCTGCCTCTCAATGGAAATACTGCATGGACGGCTGAAATTCAGAAGGCCCTTAGATAAGTACACATCTTCCTCAACTTATGATGGGGTTACATCCCAAAAACCCACCATAAACTGGAAATACCATAAGGCAAAAATGCATTTAATACACCTCACCTACCAAACATCGTAACTTAGCCTAGCCTACCTTCAGTGTGCTCAGAACACTTATGCTAGCCTACAGCTAGGCAAAATCATCTTAACACAAAGCCTATTCTTTAATAAAGTGTTGAACACCTCATGCAATTTACTGAATACTGTACTCAAAGTGAAAAACAATGATTATATGGGTACAGGATGGCTGTCAGTGTATCGGTTGTTTATTCTCATGACTGCATGGTTCCCTGGTAGCTGCAGCACAGCCACTGCCCAACATCAGGAAAGAATGGTGTCCTGGATATTACTAGGCCAGGAGAAAATCAAAATTCAAAATGAAAAAAAAAAAAAAAAATCAAAGTATGATTTCTACCAAATGCATATTGCTTTCGCACCAGTCAAGTCAAAAAATCTTAAGTCAAATGATCGTACATCAGGGACCATCTGTACTATTTAAAGTGCTAGCCTACAAACTGCCTCTGGTCCTTAACGACACAAGGAACTTGCACAGGAAGTAAGTCACCTACCTCCCAAGCACACTGTTTAGTTCAGCTGATTTTTTTCCAAAATTAACGTTTCTCAATGAAAAAAGCAATATGCTGATGAACGCTCTAGCTTAAGCTCCTCATGTAATCATTGACCTGTAACAAATAGTCCACAGACTGGCATTAGTTTAGGGACACATTTTGAGTAGCGCTGCCTAGGTCACACACAGATGTTCTTTTAACCTCTCTAAGCCTATCTTCATCTGTAGGATAACTGCTCTGATGAGCTACAAAGCTTGCAGATAGCAGGTTCTGATCAATTATGGGCCACTGCTTTATGTAGACAGTGTTTTAAAATAAAGCCATATGTAAAAATGAAATGTCATTTTTTATTTGTTCCGAACGCTTGGGTTGTTTTTCAATATTTATTTTGAGAGAGAGAGAGCGCATGCGCGCAAGAGTGAGGTAGGGGCAGAGAGAAAGGAAAAGAGAGAATCCCAAGCAGGCTCCGCACTGCTAGCATGGAGCCCAACGCAGAGGGCTCCATCCCACCGACTGAGATCATGACCTGAGCCGAAATAAACAGCTGGATGACTAACTGACTGAGCTATCCAGGTGCCCCAGAATGCTTGTTTTTAAAGTTAACTGAAATTAAAAATGGCTTGTTTTCCAGTGAAAACTATTAACTTCAATATTAAGGGTTTATAACAAAAATGGACTTATATTTAATATTAGCTAATATTTGAATAGTTATATACACACTATACAATGACATCTATTCTCTTTATCACAGCACACCCTCCCAGACACAGAAATGCAGAAGTAACAGTGTTATTTTCATTTTTCCCTATTCTAGTAATATTTTAATAATTCATAAACTCAAAACTGTTCACACAATTTTAATTACTTTTTCTTGCTCATGTCTGAAGAAGAGCTTCTTTCTCTAAGAAATTTACATTTTATAATCTTTCCTTTGAAATATAAGAAAGATATGGAATCTCCTGAGTTATATATGCAGCTTATACATTCTTTAAAAGTTATTTTTTAAAATATTACAAATTAATCATATATATCCATAATACACATCCTTGCTATTCATATATTCCTTTAAGCAACATTCAAGTATATTTGTGCTTTGTATGTTTACATTACTTTAGAACCTATTTTCAACTTTCAATAAAACTGTATATCTATAAAGATTTCTCAAATATTTAATAAATGGGGCAAAACAGCCATTACGAAAATATAAACTGCTATTATAGCTTTCTCATCTATCATTTTTATGCATTTCCAGTCAACCATGTCATTTCCTGTTCTTTAGGGAAGCTGATAAATTTTTATCTTTGCAATCTCAACACTGTTGCTTTCTCAGCACAGCATAAGAGTCCGTATATTGCAGGTTTTCTGAACACACAGTATTCACTCGGCCGTTATCAGGTGTAGCAGTGAAATCTGATAGTGTTGGTATTCATCATTTCCAGTTATTTCAACTGCAGGACCACCTTAAAACACAAAGTCGGGGGAAAAAAATCAGGTTATTCCAAAATGATGCCAATCTCTGCTTAATGAAATGCTTTGAAATCTCTGAAGAAGGGCCTGGAGAACTGATAACAAGCAAGCACAATGCACAGGAGCACGCCTGCCAGGGTCCATGGCTCTGAATCAATTAACATTTACATTGGGCCGCACCACACACCCTTTCAGACAGCCCCATACGAAAGCAAGCCAGGCTGCCAATGTGGTTACTGGGCATGTGGACCAGTCATCATGGCACTAAAATCGGCATCTGCAAAGTGTAGAGGAAAACTGAGGATAGCAGAGTTGAAAAGAGGTAAGGCTAAGAAGGCTAGTCAATGGCAAGAAAAGGTGGTTAGAGTATCTGGCATTAATCATGGATTTCAGATCACACAGAAAAAGCTGAGCAATAATGAAAGGAACATACATATACAAAGACAGTTATTTTCTGACAGCAGCAGTTTGTACTGTTTAAGTATTTTTCTCATTAAATAACTGGGAATTGTTCCTGTTATTTAGCCAACCCTTTGTAAATGCAAAATTTTTACTCATTCATTAGTCATATCTTATCCCTACCTGATTTTGTCATAATAACTACAAGCCATATTTTGTCTCTCATTCTTAGAGGATTATAAAAGCAATTTTATTTGTCCAGTTAAATAAGACACTCTTTTCTTTAGGATCACAGCTATTTATAATCATAAAAACTCTTTAGAATCACAGCCCCAAGGTAAAAATTTATTTTTAGCATTACTGAGCACTGGGGCAAACAAAATCTAGCTGTGAGAACAGCACTACTATTCTATCAAAAATGACTAATTGATAAGTTAGGCTCAAAACTAAGCAGTCAAAATTACAAGTTGTAATTTTTTTAATATCTAAAACTAGAGATGCAGAACAGATCAACAAGGTATTGGGGCGCCTGGGTGGCGCAGTCGGTTAAGCGTCCGACTTCAGCCAGGTCACGATCTTGCGGTCCGTGAGTTCGAGCCCCGCGTCAGGCTCTGGGCTGATGGCTCGGAGCCTGGAGCCTGCTTCCGATTCTGTGTCTCCCTCTCTCTCTGCCCCTCCCCCGTTCATGCTCTGTCTCTCTCTGTCCCAAAAATAAAATAAAAAACGTTGAAAAAAAAATTTTAAAAAAAACAAGGTATTTTCCGTGCTTGACATAAAAGATCAGAAACAAAAGAAATATTAAAAGTCAATTATGAGTTTTTCTTCTATTGCTCTAAGGGTACCTATCAGTCAACACTTAAACATTTTAAACCACACAGCACAATTAAAACAAATACCTTATTAGCTGCTTCCAAGGAATTTATTAGATTCTGCAGCTCTTCTTTACTCATTTCGACAGAATATGGTTTGACTTCACCATTTTCTTTTACGTCTAGAGTAAGGTTTAAAAGTGGCATTTGTAACGTAGCAATCTTGTCACTAGACAGTGCAAGCTGTTTAAAATGAGGAAAATAGTAATTAATAAGTAGTAAAAAAAAGAATATATTAAATATACATCAGAGCTTATTAACAATACAAGAACACTCCTGTTTGCTATCAAATACAGGAAAAGGAGGAAGAAACAAAGAAACCCCCGCCAAACCAACACATACATGAAGAACAGAAAGAGAAAGGAGGATGAATAGAGAGGATGCGGACTGGGAAAAAAGGACAACCAGTCCGAATTTCGTAGCATAAGCAGCAATCCGGTGCAGAGTTATGGCCGGGAAGGACTGAATGGGTCCAATGCATCAAGAAACTGAGAATTCTTTTTTTTTTTTTAATTTTTTTTTTTTTTAATGTTTATTTATTTTTGAGACAGAAAGAGACAGAGCACGAACAGGGGAGGGGCAGAGCGAGAAGGAGGCACAGAATCTGAAACAGGCTGCAGGCTCTGAGCGGTCAGCACAGAGCCCGACGCGGGGCTCGAACTCACGGACCGAGAGATCATGACCTGAGCCGAAGTCGGACGCTTAACCGACCGAGCCACCCAGGCGCCCCAAGAAACTGAGAATTCTTAAAGACGTGTGAAGAAACCGAGAGGATGAAAGTCCATGTACAAGGATACAACCAAAAACACTGGTAAAGCCTGGGAAATTAAGACGCTTAATTCACAATCAGCCAATTCTCTACCAAATTATTGTTAAACACATTATCAAGATACCACTTTCAATTAGAGTCACTCAGCAAAAACACTCATTTTCCCTACTTCTTATTTTCTGTCTACAGAGAATCCTAGAAGAAACAGAAGAACCAAATATTTATGATACTAATACTTTTTGAAACAAGCGCCATGGCTTCATTGGCAGATGGCAAAGGAAAAATCAAATTTTCCTGGAATCTGCGCTAGAAAACCCCACAATAAGTGAATCTTTGAAGTGCTACTACTTGCAAAAATTTACTTATGCAATGAATGGTAAGGAACTACTTCCCTAACGAACAACCTCTAAGTCCACCCTCGGCGTGCACACACTGTAGAATTGAATCCTCACATACTTCCTCCGTTTTCTCTTCAAAAACCAGGGCTCATCATATCTGAGATTTAGAAGTATCAAAGATGGGGCGCCTGGGTGGCTCAGTCGGTTAGGCGACCGACTTCGGCTCAGGTCATGATCTCACAGTTCCTGAGTTCGACCCCACGTCGGGCTCTGTGCTGACAGCTCAGAGCCTGGATCCTACTTCAGATTCTGTGTCTCCCCCTCTCTCTACCCCTCCCCTGCTCACACTCTGTGTCTCTCTGTCTCTCAGTAATAAACGTTAAAAAAAATTTTTTTTAATTTAGAAGATGGTAATGTAGACCAAAGATGATCTACATTATAGATAATTGTCTTCTTCAGTGTGTCCAATAAGTGGTTTCTCAGTCTATGCTTGAATACCACCAATGATAAACGTGCTACCTCAAGAAGAGGTTAAAATAATCTTCAGATACTGATAGGTGTTAAAACATTTTCCTTAGGTTGAATGTGAACTCGTCTTATTTCAAACTATATAACCTTAAACCTTAACCTTTGTCCTAGCCGCTGTAGCCACAGAGCGTATATCAAGTCCCTCATCCATAGAGATGATTTTTAGTCCTTTAAAGAGAATTATCATTTTTCTACTAAGTTTTCTCCTTTCCCCAAATGTTTGAAAAAAACCTTCATGATTTCAAGTTCCTGTTCATTCTTTTCTGGTTTGGCACTAATTTGTTTAAGTATCTCTTAAATTTGGCAAACAGAACTAAAAGCATTAGTAACTAAATTAACTAAAAAGTGAAATGAATAAAAACAGAATTAGAACTACCCACTGCTTGAAACACTGCATTTCTATCAACAAAACATAAGACTGAATCATCATACTGCTGACTCAAGCCACATTTGGTAAATCAAAACAACTAAATATTCTCATACATATTACTTTTGGCCTACCTCTCATATCTTTTATATTAAGTTGGTTTTATTTATATAAAAATCCTCTATCTAGGTTATTGCTGCTTAATTTATTGTGCTTCATTTGGCCCATCGCTGTAATTTGCTACAAAATAATTTTAAACTTTGTATTATATTAATATAATGTATCTTAGATTTGATAAGCATAATATTCATAAAAGACTGGGCCAAAACCAGAATCACAGAGACCTCCTCCCTGGATAACACAAATACATCTGGCTTTGGTTGTTTATCCAGCTATGACCCAAGTAACTATGTAATCGTTCCACATTTTTCTCCACTTTATCCACAAAGACAGTATGAGACACTTTATCCAGGATCATGCTGAAATGAGGAAACGCAATATGTTTCAACACAACGTGTTTCAACACAACCTCCTTATTGAGGTCTACGTATCCTATACAGCATGGAAAGTTGGTCTGAAATTGTTTTTTATGAATCCTATTGATCATGAGTCTCTTTTTCAAAATGTTCATTAAAGTTAACTTTTAATAATACATAGATTTTCCCCTGGAGACAGAATCACATTTACCAATCTCAGGAAGACTATAATAAAGGCTAGAAAGTTCTAGCCAAAAATATACGTTGAATACATACTACTCCACTATTTAAGATATTTAATGATTCACAGCTCTAGTTAATTAAATTTATTATCAATGTAATTTTATTACATATTTTTGGATGTCTGTACTGTACTTATGCATAAATAATGTAAAAAAATGTAATTTTTTTTTTTTAATTTTTTTTTCAACGTTTATTTATTTTTGGGACAGAGAGAGACAGAGCATGAGCAGGGAGGGCAGAGAAGGAGGAAGACCTGGGGAATGGGCTCCAGGCTCTGAGCCATCAGCCAGAGCTGGCCAGCGAGGCTTCGAACTCACGGACCCTTGAGGTCATTGACAGCTGAAGTCGGACAACATTCTCGCACCCCAAACTAAAAATATGATTACGACACTAATATTCTTAAAATAACAGAAATTTTAGATCTATATTATGAAAAAGAATAAATATTTCTTTCCATTCAAAAAATGAGATAAAAAAATACATGCCTATAAACAGATTCTCACCTTTAACTGCCAGTCAAAATCCTGTAGCTGTGCAGAAGAAATATCAACTATTTCTTCTAACAGAGCCTTCTTGATTTCCTCTTTCCTACTTTTCAAGCATTTTATGATAGCTTCTTGATGAAATGAATTCAACTGATTCAACTGCTGGAAGGAAGAAATGTCTATGAAAATAGAGCAGAGAAAGCAAATTGAAACTCTGTTTTAAAGCAATGTATATAGGCTCCACGCTTTCACAATCCCTTTAAAATGATAGTAAAAGAAAAAAAAAAAGACTTCTGTACCTAGAATACGATGAGAATGTGTAACTGACAAACAAGAGATTTTTGCAAAACAAAAAGGTAAAAAAAAAAAAAAAAAAACTAAAAAAAAAAAAAAAAAAAAACTAAAAAAACTAAAAAAAAAAAAAAAAAAAAAAAACTGACTGATGAAGTAGCATGAAAGCAAAGACCATGAACGCTGGCATAGCTAGATTAATATCAGACAATGTAGCCTTTAAGAAGTATTACAAGAAATAAAGAATGGCAAAAGGACCATTCAACAGAAAGAACAATCATAAATTTGTGTGCACCCAATAAAAGAGCTTCAAAATATATAAAGTAGCAAAACTTGGCAGAACTAAAAAGAGAAATCGGTAAGTCTAATTAGATTTATTAGATTTATAATTAGAATGTTAACACATCTCCCAGTAACTGACAGGAAAACACACAAAACAATCATAAAGATTAGAATCAAAAAAATACTATCTTCTTTAACCTAATTGACACGCAGAACATTATACTCAACAACTACAGAACGTACTATTTTCAAATATATGTGGAACATTCACCAAAAGGAACCATAAGACAAGACATGTAGCAAATCACAACAGATTTCAAAGGACTGCAATCAAATTATATATATATTTTTAACATGGTATAATTAAATCATAACTGATTACAAAAAATCTCCAAATACTTGAAAATTATACAACATAGTAACACAGTACTAAGGAAGATAGAAAGTCAATCTTGCATAAACTCTTTCAGAGAATAAGAAAAGAGAAAAAATACTTCCTAATTCATTTTATTAGACCAGAATAAGACTTGACACCCTGACAAGGACATTACAAAGAGAAAAACTATGGGCCAATATCACTCAAAAACAGATTCAAAAGTCCTAAATAAGATATTGGCAAATCAAATCAAGAAATACATAAAAACATAATACATGATGACCAAGTGGTGTTTATTTTGGCAATGCAAGGTTAATTTAGCATTTAAATATCCAATGAAAGACACCACATCAGCAAAATAAAGAAGAAAAAAATAACAAATTTAGGGAAAAAAATTAAATAAAATTCAATACCCATTAATGATAACAATTCTCAGCAAAGTAGGAACTGTAGGAAACTTCTTTAATCTTATAGTATACATCTATAAAACCACACAGCTAACACAATAAATGATAAAATTGTGAATCCCTAAGATCAGGAATAAGACACTGCTTTTTGTTTCAACACTGTCTTAAAGGTGTTAGGCACTGCAATAAGGTAAGAAAAAAATGGGTATTAAAATCTAAAAAGAAAAGGATTGTACACACAAAAGAAATAAATCCGGAAAAATGTTTTATAAGCCATTAAATAAATTTTTTTAAATTGTTGGATATGGGGGGGCGCCTGGGTGGCGCAGTCGGTTAAGCGTCCGACTTCAGCCAGGTCACGATCTCGCGGTCTGTGAGTTCGAGCCCCGCGTCAGGCTCTGGGCTGATGGCTCAGAGCCTGGAGCCTGTTTCCGATTCTGTGTCTCCCTCTCTCTCTGCCCCTCCCCCGCTCATGCTCTGTCTCTCTCTGTCCCAAAAATAAATAAACGTTGAAAAAAAAAATTAAAAAAAAAATAAAAATAAAAATAAATTGTTGGATATGGGGTAAAGATATAAAAATTGCTTCTATATACCAGCAATAAACAAGTGGAGAACAAAATTAACACCAAAAGTATCAATTACTTAAAAATAAATCTAAAAAAATATTTGCAAGATCTCTATACTGAAAACTGCAAAATAATAGAGAAATTGAAGTACTACAAATAAATGGAATGTTATTCCATGTTCGTGGATTGGGAAGATTTAATATTAAGACATAAATTCTTTCCCAAATGATTTTAGAGATTCAGTGCAATCTCCATGCTGCAAACCAAATGATGTCACTTCAAACTTATGTTGAAATTCAAACCTTCACTGTGATGATATTCAAAGATGGGGCCTTCTGAGAGGTAATTAGGTTTAATAGGTCATAAGGGTAGGGCCTTCATGATGGGATTAGTGCCCTTATAAAAAGAAACCTAAGAAAGAATGCTTCCCTCTCCCTTTGCTATATGAGAAACACAGCAAGAAGGCAGTCTGCAGCCAGGAAAAGGGTTCTTGACAGGGAATCAAATCAGCCAGCACCTTTACTTTGGACTAACTTACCAGACTCTAGAATTGTGAGAAATAAATTCTTAATTGTTTAAGTTACTCAGTCTATGGTATTTTGTTATGGCAGCCCAAGTTGACTAATATTCATCAAAATCCCAGGGTTTTTTTTTGTTGTTGTTGAAATTGACAAACTGACTTTAAAATGTACGTGAAAATACAGAGGACCTAGAAGAGCCAAAGCAATCTTGAAGAAGCATGAAATTGAAAGTCTTCTATTATCAAGACTATGTAACATAGCTTTAATTCTACAGTAATTAAGACAATGTAGTATTGGGAAATATAGACTAGACTAATGGAGTAGAATAAAGAGTCCAGATACAGACCAACACATATACAGCTACCTGATTTACAACAAAGGCTGCACAGAAATTCCATGGGGCAAGGATGGTCATTTCAATAAATGGTACTGGGTCAATTGGCTATTGATATGAAAAAATGCGAACTTGACCCTTAACCCACACACAAATATTAATTCAAAATGCACCAGTAACATAAATGTGAGAGCTTCTACAAGAAAACTAACAAAAAAATCTTCATGACTTGGCACAATTATTTGTTAAACAGGACTTTAATAGCACTAACAATCAAAAGAAATGTTGACAAAACTGGACTTGATTAAATTCAGAACTTCTGTTGACAAAAAGACACCATTAAGAGTGAAAAGGCAAGCCACATAATGGAAGAAGATGTTTAAAATACATAGCTCTAACAAAGAACTCCCACCCAGAATATCATCCAAATCAAAATGAATATACATAAACTACATTTTTTTATAAGCGAGCAACCTACACAAACATGCCAAAGTAACTTTTTACCAAGGTACAAAAGCCATTCAATGGAAGGACACCCCATTAATTTCACTTCAAGATATCTATCCTAGAAAAGGTGGCCAATATGCTATTTTTTTTACTTTTTTTTTTTAAATATGAAATTTATTGTCAAATTGGTTTCCATACAACACCCAGTGCTCATCCCAACAGGTGCCCTCCTCAATGCCCACCACCCACTTTCTCCTCTCCCCCACCCCCCATCAACCTTCAGTTTCTCAGTATTTAAGAGTCTCTTATGGTTTGACTGCTTCCCTCTCTGTAACTTTTTTTTCCCCCTTCCCCTCCCCCCTGATCTTCCATTGAGTTTCTCAGAATCCACATGTGAGTGAAAACATGGTATCTGTCTTTCTCTGCCTGACTTATTTCACTTAGCATAACTCTCTCCAGTTCCATCCACATTGCTACAAGTGGCCAGATTTCATTCTTTCTCTTTGCCAAGTAGTATTCCATTATATATATAAACCACATCTTCTTTATCCATTCGTCAGTTGATGGACATTTGGGCTCTTTCCATAATTTGGCTATTGCTGAAAGTGCTGCTATAAACATTGGGGTACAAGTGCCCTTATGCATCAGCACTCCTGTATCCCTTGGGTAAACAGTATGTGTATAAGGAGACACACACAAGATATCAGTAGAAGCACTATACATAATAATGAAAGAGGCAAGGATCTAATGGTTCATCAGGAGGCCAGAAAAAGAAGTCCTGCTAATCCTATCATCAAATACTATAAGAAATTAAAATATTAAGAACCAGATCTACATTTACCAATACTGACAAGTCTAAAACAATATCCCATAAAAAAAAATTACAAATGGATACATATGTTATCATTTACAAGTTACACATTCAAACAGCTCAAATAATTGTATACATTGCTTAAAGACATAAACATTCCTACAACATGGAATACAAAACATGTATACCAACAAGTTGTGATCTCTTGGGGAAGGGTGGCATGCCAGGTGGTATTTGGGTATATTTATAATACCTTGTTTCTAAAACAAACACACAAACCTGTAATACATAAAGTAAAATGTTAACAACTGTTTAATTGTGATAATGTGAATTTAGGTATCAGTTACCTAACTTCTGGTTTTCTTCTACATGATTTAAATGTATCACAATTCTAAAAACATAAACAACCAAAACAAGAGAACCAGAACTTCCACAATCAGATTTGCCTACTCAAAATTATGATGTTTTTGTTAATATAACATATACTTACTGATGATGGCTCCTGTATGATATAGTGCCCTAAAACCAACTTGAGAAAAACGTTAACACTACTTATTACTTATTATGAGATATAGAAATTTGGAGTGAAGTTACCTCTTCATCAGGTAAATTTTTACCAACTACAGCTTTGAAAAATTTGGTAATATCTTCTAGAACATTCTTCCATTCTGTCGAATCCCAAACACTGTGATAATCCTGGTAGAGAGGATAAGCTCGGCCACAAATGCCATCAATTATTTTATGAAGCAGCTAGAGAGAAAAGAAAGTAAGTGAATTATAAGTAAACTTACAAAACAGACTTATCTTCCTTGTAGGAAACAAATGCTGTTGGGAGCAGCTCATGTTACCCACAAGAGCAGCTGAAGATTGAAATGTAACTATTTTTAACATTACTCTTATTAATTAAAAATTAAAGCTCCAATAAAAATCCCAGACTTTCTAAAATTCTGTCCACCTTCAGAAGCTGAAATAATTTCATAGACACATTGTTGTTTCTCCAATAATCCTAAAAGGATGCTGATGAATATAAAAGTTTCACCTTGGGATTCCTTAGACATTGTATTTATACCAATAATAATAATAATAATAATAATAATAAAGTATGACTTTTAGATCAAAGTTTTTTACTGTAGATCTATAAATTTCATTTCCCCTTGCCTCCATTTTCACAGCATTGACACTCACTTGTTTTGGTCCATTCCAAGAAAGTCGTCAGTGCCTTTATCTTCTTTTTTTACATTCCTGTCCCTGTACCCTACCTTAGTATCGGCAATAGAAATCCTAACATATATATAACTGAACATAGTGACTAAGACTGAATTTTTGAATAAAACTGTCTAGTTTCAATCCTAGTTCCACTACTTAACTAGTTTTATCAAGTTATTTCGATGTTCTGTGCCTGTTCCGTGTGTAAAATGAGGAGATCATCTAGCTACATTATGCTGTTGTAAGGAGTACATGCAAATTACTTGGCACATTCCTAGCATGTATAAAACCCTTACACACTGCTAGCCATTGTTACCATTCTTCTCATTATTGTTATTATCACTATTACTGCCACCACCCCCACCACTACCGGTATTACGTTCCATGTCTTTAACATACATTAACTGATTGCCTACTATGTCAGCACTATTCGAGATAAATGATTAACATGGCTTTCTTTCCCAGGGGATATTTGTGTCTTGTTAAAAGAGTATCTGAACCCAAATAATCTGGAAAATTATTTTAAACAACAAGTCTTCCAAATCTTTTCCCCTGGACCATAGTCCACTTCATTTTAAGCAGTGACTCTTCCCCTCGTGACACCACACATATCAGAACAGAAATGAGCAACTGGTAACTCCACTTCCAAATGATGGCTAATGCCCTCTATGAACAGACCTTTTATTTACCATACATCCACCAACAGTCTCAATTTGAAATTCATTCCAAATTCTCTACACATATCCCATGTTATCCCAAACTGCCCCCACGCTAAAGCAAAACACAGAGCTCAAACTGATAAAGTACTATCTTTTGGAATATAAATGTTTTAAGTCATTCATTCATTCATGTTTTGTATTCACATGTACAACATAGGTAATGAGCACTTCACTCCATTTGTTAAACAAGTTAATGGAAATACAAAGCAAATATAACTGTAATGGATACTACATATGGAGCCCTGACTGAGTACCAAGCACTGTGTTCATCCTCACTACAACCCTATACAGGGGGTAAGTCTTGTTATTATCCCCGTTTTACAAATGAAAAAACTGAGGATAAACAAGATTAAGGTGCTACCATATCAGAGCTTTAGTCCATTAGAGAAAGACAAACATAAATACATAAATGCAATTTAGAATGAGAGGAACTATATTATAAATTTATAGAAAGTACAAAGAAGCACAGAGAAGAGGAGAAAGGGCTGCTTTTAAAAGAATAAAATGAGGATATCACCTACCCACATTATGTTGTTGTAGTACTTGGCCATTTAAGGGGAAAGAAGGGCATTTCTAGTCACCAGCAACTGCATATGCATAAAAGAATAAAGTGAACAATCACATGTTCAATTTGAAAAAAGGATACAAGGCTGGAGAGGTGAGTGGAGGCCAAATCATAAAGGGCCTTGTATACAGGGTCCAGACTTTAATTGTCTCAACAGGGAAGCAACCTGTTCACATATTTGCATTATGTTTCCATAAATTTCCCAACAAGTTGGGAGATGCAAGGAGAGAAAAGGAAAAGAGAGATGGTGAGACCAAAGGCCACTTGCCTTCTCTTTACCAGGAAGAAATTAGATGGGGGGAGGGAAGGGCGGGCGGCTAAATAGTTGAGGACACTCAAAATGGGGGCAGTACTGAGGTAAAAGAGACTGAAAAGGAGGAAGGACCAAGGATGATACTCAGAATTTTAGGCTGAGTGACTGGGTAAACAGTGGTGCTCCAAACCAAAAATGAGGCTATAATCACAGGAAGAATAGTTCCAGGGGGAAAGACAAGGAGTTCAGCCAAGGACACACTGAATTTGAGGTACCTGGGGTGTGTCTAAGCAGGAGCCTGACACCCAAGGAAGAGATTCTTTGCTGGATGCAGGGTTCTAGGCGTCATCAACCTACATGATGAGAAAGGTTATGGGCCTTACTAAGAAGCAGGTAGAAGGACGATAGGAGCAGGAAGCTAATACAAAGACTCACAACCAACAGATCTGAACATATGTTTCACCTTTGCCACTTACTAGTTTAACAACCTTGGGCACGGTACTCCAACTCTCTCTGCTGACATTTTGGTTTCCTCACTTGTACAATCACAGGAGAGTTAAGATGGTTTTTCCTGATCCTGATAAGAATTAAGTTTGTTCCCTTCCACCTCCCCCTCCCCCCCCCCCACTTTCCCCATTACAAATGGAACAGAGGAAAAAAGAAGTCTTAAATGAGGGGCTTTTAAGGCTGTCTACCCCACACGCCTCTATCACACTACGTAGGGTAAGCCCCCACTCCCACCTGTCACCCATTATAAGTGGAACACAATAGGGACTTACTCTGAATTGCCAATCATTTACACTTAAGGCCAGTCCATCGAAGCTTGGAATCCAGACAACTGCCCCCCATGATTAAGCAGAGTTCACTATGCATTAATTCCTTCCCTCAGCGGACACTGATCAAGAACCCACCTTGAGCCAGAACACAAATCTGAAGAACTGGGAATGTAAAACAAAGTTATCTACCCTGAAGGAGTTCAGAATAAGAGAGAGACCAGAGTCAAGCCAACTGGTCAAGAAGTTGTGTAAGTGCCCGAATTGTTGGGCGACAGAGGAGATGGGAATAAACATACTTATATATTGATTACAATACAATGTATTAATTGGTTGACTTCTGAGGACAAACAACCTCCGCTCCCAGACCTAATGCTGCAGCTTAATTCTGCATATATTGCTTTCTTTCAGGGATGGGCAAATTTCCTTCAGGTCTACATTTTTCTGCTTGAAAGTTCAAGGGGGAAAGTCTCACTTCTCAGTCAGATTTTCCTCTTACAGCAACCACTGGGTTTTCTCCTCCTTTCACAGCCCACAGTAATTACATAAATGCAATTACTGCCTCCACATTTCATTTTTCACACTCAAAACTGCCAATGCCTTTGGTATTAAGGCTAAATAACAAGCGTGGCATATAGACTCGAGCCACCTGACTTTCTACTCGCCTGCCTAGCCTTAGTCTCCCTGCCCTGCTTCTCACTCTGAATTTCAGCCTCCAAGAATTCGAGCAGGTCCTCAAAGCCCGCAGAGGCTGGTTTCCTTTTTCTAGCCTTGTAGCTGCTATTCCTCTGCTTAAAGCATTCTCTCCCTTCTAGCCTGTCTAGTCCGACTCGTCCTCTGGAACTCAACCTAGAAATTGAGACGTTCCTTTTCCGGAACGCCTCTCCTTGTCCCTTCAAATCTGGGTTGCTACCTGTCCCACAAGCTGGTTACTGGATAATTCAGTTTGGTTTCCTTATTAGATACAAGCTCCAGCAGAGTACGGGCTGTGTCTCACTCACTGTTTTACCTTATGCCATTTGGGCACTCAGCACAAGGCCCACTTAAGTGAAAAGCTGGCCGAACAAACGAACGAGGCTCTTTCCAGATCCCTTACAGCCAGGTTACTTCCCAGGCCCAAGGTTTCAATGTATATGTCACCTCCTGAGAGAAAGGCCACCTTGGACCACCCTACCGAAAGTAAGTTGCTCAGTTATTGGGAGTACTTACCAATTTGTTTTGTGCAGCCCTCCAGGGGGCAGGGTGTGCTTCTCTACGTCCCCATGTCCCCAGCCTATCCCCGGCACCTAGCACTGTGCCTGGTGCACGGGCAGCATTCCGGCGTGCGTGGTGTACGAATGAATGAAATGAGATGCTGCACACCACCGGCTCCACGTTGTAAGTTTTTCAAATACTACGGTGGGGACTCCGCTCCCCAGCCCAGAGTCAGCGGGTCTTGGGCCGCGCCGGGGAGCTGACGGGCCACCCCCACCCAGGTGCCAGCAAAGCCGAGGAGTCATCTCGCAAAGCCCCTCGAGGGGCAGCTTCAAGCGGGGGCGTGGAGGTGGCGCCCAAAGCGTCGGCCTTCTCAGCTCTCCAGGGGCAGCAGGGGGCCGTGCACCCGACTTGACGCCCCCTTCCCCGTCCCAGCCCTGGGCAGTCCGGGCGAGCCCAGCCAGCGCGTCTCGATCAGACCGGGCCAGACCTGCACGCCGGGGCGTCCCGGGGCCCCGCCTGCCACGCCGCCCGCTCTCTCCTCACCTGCGGGCCCAGCTCGGCTGGAAGCTTCTGCAGCTGCCACAAGGGCGTCCCCTCTTCCGGCTCCATCCCAGTACCAAGTAGGAACCTAGGTCACATGACAAGGCCCGGTCGCGCCTCACGAGCGACGGCTCAGCCACGTGACTCTCTCGGGTGGGCGGGGGCCGAGCGTGGAGACGCAGGGGCTCTCGTGCGCGTGCGCAGAGACACTGCCGGCGCTTTCCCTGTAACTAAGGAAAATCCCTTTTCCTCCTGGAGTAAGTTTGCTAAACACACTTATTATATTGAAAGCAAATTTGCAAATCTCGCAAGCACGTTGCAACTTTGTTCAGAGTTCTGTCGAACTTTCTCTGCACTCCTTAGAAAGCCGTCTAATAAGAGTAACCCTGTTTTGAGCTCAGGGCCATTGTCCCGGAGGCTTGGCATGTGTCTCTTTTTACTATTCTAAATTTTTTTTTCAACGTTTATTTATTTTTGGGACAGAGAGAGACAGAGCATGAATGGGGGAGGGGCAGAGAGAGAGGGAGACACAGAATCGGAAACAGGCTCCAGGCTCTGAGCCATCAGCCCAGAGCCTGACGCGGGGCTCGAACTCACGGACCGCGAGATCGTGACCTGGCTGAAGTCGGACGCTTAACCGACTGCGCCACCCAGGCGCCCCTCTTTTTACTATTCTAATTGGAAGGTTAAGTGAGGGTTTGCCTGTGTGCAAGATACTTTATATAGATTATCGGGTACTATTTTCATCCCCATTTCCAAATAACAAATAAGATCAGTCACTAGGATAGTCAGATTTAGCAAATAAAAATAGAGTGCCTGGTTAAATCTGAAATTTCAGATAAGCAATGAACAATGTGTTCTTAGAAGTCTGCTCTAAATATTGCATGGGGCGTACTTATACCAAAAAATTATGCCCTGTTTATCTGTAAGCCAAAGTCAACTGGGCATTCTGTGTTTTACAGCAACCGTAAAAGTCACAAGAGCTAGGAGGCACAGCCTAAAGTTAAGCAAAGTCAGACCCTACAGCCACACGGTTAACATCGAACTAACCAAAAAACATTTTCTGTGATTTCTCTCACTATAGCTGTTACTTTAATCAGATGCTGGAGAATTTCGAGGGATAAGACAGTTCCTGGTAACTAGAAGTACACAGTAAGTGGGAGACAGAAACAGAAATGACAGTCTAATATAAATTTAATAATAAAAGTAGTGAAAAGTGATGAAGCATACCACAGAGGAGAAAGTAATTATTTTATTCTGTGGGCTATGCAAAGAAAAACTACATATTAGTGACACCCTTCAATGTTTAGCTGGGATGCCCTTTCTCTACTCTGTGCCCCATCTCTTGGAGGTGAAAGCAATTTCCTCCTCCTCTAAATTTTCATGACTCTCCCTCACTTAAAATATTTAGCGCTTTCCAGTTCTTAATATACATAGTTATGTACAACAATCATTGCCCCAACTGAAACATAATTATCTTAAGACACTTCGACTTTGTGCGGAAGAGCCCCTCAACTAATAGTTAATGAACAAGGAGTCTGGAAATCTCCTACCTAATCTGTGCATGTTTAGTAAGTCTACTGAGGGTAGAGACTGTTTTCTAAGAAAGGGCCAGATTTTGTATATGGTAAAATATACAATAAAAATATTATAAATATTATACAATAAAAATAAAATAAAAAATATTTATTAAGCATCTACTATATGCCAGTTTCTATATTTTATCTTATTAATCTTCCCTATAACATTGTGTTGTGGGAGTTACCCCAACTTTCCAAGGTGAGGAAAAACAAATTTGGTGAAGTATCAACTTTGTCCAAGGTCATGCAGGTGTTAGTTGCAAAGTCACTGGGCTGTCTGTGTGTTTCACTGGCCCTAAAGAGTAAAGAAAGGCATTCTGAGGTGATATGACTTCCCAAGGCCATATAACAGATTAATAGATAAGGGAAAGAGGCACAGAGAACAGGGCCCAAAATTCAGTCAGAGTACTTAATATTTGCCTTTTGATAAGAGGATGTTCTTATATGTATAATTCAGGAGGTTTTCAAAACATTTTTGTTTCTTACAGTCCCAATTTTACTAACTGTGCTCTAGTTCTAAATTTACAAATCTTACTTGTAGTGATAGTTAGACACATGGGACTCTGGAGTTAAACTTCTTAAATTTAAACCCCAATTCGGCAAATTACAGTCTGTGGAATATTAGGCAAGTAGCGTTCACTTACCTGTGTTTATGGTTCTTCGTCTGTAATTGGTTATGTTAGCACAGAACTTATAGAGTCATACGTTCATATATGTAAAGTTCTTGAAATGAGGTCTAGCCTGGAACATAAAAAACATTATTAGATTCCCTTATAAGTGGCCTTCTTTTCTCCCCTGTTATCTAGCCAAAGTTTAGTGGGTTCCAGAAAGCAGGGTGTATCTCCCTCTTCTTTACCCTCCTAGATATAGTGTTGGAGAGTCTCTGCCTTGGGAATGTGATCTGCGTCTAAAACCCACCTAGGCTGTTATATAGTGCAGTATAGGCAGTGCAGGTCAGTGGTCACAGCTCGGACAGATATAAAAAATAGATCTAAAGATCTCAGATAAACCTCACTGGGTGTGCTTACTGACCTGAAATTGGAATTCAAGCTGTTTATCGAAGAGTTAATTTGTTGCTCGAGGTTATTTGTAATTGGGATCTTTTCATTTTGAAGTGGAAGGAGCAAGAAAGAATTTTGTGCACCATGCCCTGGGATGTTTATTCATTCACTCACTCTTTTTTTTTTTTTTAATTTTTTTTCAACGTTTTTTATTTATTTTTGGGACAGAGAGAGACAGAGCATGAACGGGGGAGGGGCAGAGAGAGAGGGAGACACAGAATCGGAAACAGGCTCCAGGCTGTGAGCCATCAGCCCAGAGCCCGACGCGGGGCTCGAACTCACGGACCGCGAGATCGTGACCTGGCTGAAGTCGGACGCTTAACCGACTGCGCCACCCAGGCGCCCCCATTCACTCACTCTTTAACAATTATTGGTTAAACACATACCATGCATTAGATACTCTAATGGCTCTGGTATTGCAGGCAGTGTGAACAATAACTTACCTTCTAGTTGTGTATGGCGGGACCTCAGATATTGAACAAGTAAGCAAATAAGATCATGTGAGCTATGGAGAAGCATCTCTCTCTCTCTTTTTTAAAATGTGTATTTATTTATTTCAAGAAAGAGAGAGAATCCCAAGCAGGCTCTGTGCTGTCGGTGTAGAGCCCCACGTGGGGCCCGATCCCACCACCCTGGGATCATGACCTGAGCCGAAACCAAGCGTCAGTCAACCAACTGAGCCACCCAGGTGCCCTGGAGAAGCATCTTAAAGAAAATGAAACAGAGTGATGTAATAGAGAGGGATGGTGGAAATACACTTTACATTGGTCAAGGAGTACGTTGCCAAAAGTGGCATGTACATGCAGGCATAAAAGAGGAGGAGACATGAAGGCCAACATCTGGGAAATGAGAGTTGCTATTACAACGTAGAGGCCCTGAAGCAGGAGAAAACCTGCCTTATTTAAGATAATAAACAGGGGTGCCTGGGTGGTTCAGTTGGTTAAGTGTCTGACTTTGGCTCAGGTCGTGATCTCATGGTTCAGGAGTTCAAGCCCCACATCAGGCCTTGCGCTGATAGTGAGGGGTCTGCTTGCGATTCTCTCTCCCTCTTTCTCTGCCCCTCCCTTGCTCACACTTTCTCTCTCTCTCTCTCTCTCCCAAAATAAATAAATTAATTAAAAAAAAAAGATAATAACCAAAGCCTGTAGAGCCAGACCAAACGCAGTAAGCAAGGGAAGCGTGATGGAGATGATGTCAGAGATATTTTTAATCAGCAAATCGACGTGAACTAGTCTGCGTTTTTAATTTTTTTTTCAACTTTTTTTATTTATTTTTGGGACAGAGAGAGACAGAGCATGAACGGGGGAGGGGCAGAGAGAGAGGGACACAGAATCGGAAACAGGCTCCAGGCTCGAGCCATCAGCCCAGAGCCTGAAGCGGGGCTCGAACTCACGGACCGCGAGATCGTGACCTGGCTGAAGTCGGACGCTTAACTGACTGCGCCACCCAGGCGCCCCCATTCACTCACTCTTTAACAATTATTGGTTAAACACATACCATGCATTAGATACTCTAATGGCTCTGGTATTGCAGGCAGTGTGAACAATAACTTACCTTCTAGTTGTGTATGGCGGGACCTCAGATATTGAACAAGTAAGCAAATAAGATCATGTGAGCTATGGAGAAGCATCTCTCTCTCTCTTTTTTAAAATGTGTATTTATTTATTTCAAGAAAGAGAGAGAATCCCAAGCAGGCTCTGTGCTGTCGGTGTAGAGCCCCACGTGGGGCCCGATCCCACCACCCTGGGATCATGACCTGAGCCGAAACCAAGCGTCAGTCAACCAACTGAGCCACCCAGGTGCCCTGGAGAAGCATCTTAAAGAAAATGAAACAGAGTGATGTAATAGAGAGGGATGGTGGAAATACACTTTACATTGGTCAAGGAGTACGTTGCCAAAAGTGGCATGTACATGCAGGCATAAAAGAGGAGGAGACATGAAGGCCAACATCTGGGAAATGAGAGTTGCTATTACAACGTAGAGGCCCTGAAGCAGGAGAAAACCTGCCT